AAATAACAAAATAAAAAGATAAATAGAAATATCTGAATGAATAACTAAATAATATCAAAATTTTATTTATATGATTTTTATAATTTTTTATCAACATTTTTTAACATTTTTATTATTCTCTTTCAATATTGAAAACCTATGTAAACTGAATTTTAAAAATAATTATATAAATATTATCAAGCAAATTGAAAGGAATTCATTAACTAAAACAATAAAGTGTAGCTAAATAATATATAAAATATTATTTCATATTTCCTTAAAAATTCACTAAATTTTTTTATTATCACGTATACGCCTTGAATAACCACCCAAATATTTTGTGAAGCGAGTATATAAAGCAAAAAAATAAAGAAATAAAAAAAAAACATTAAATAAATTAAGAAAATTTAGCCCAGATTCCTTAAATCTATTTAAATGAACGGCGCTGTGCATACATAAATATATGTTTATATTAATTTTCTTATACACAAATATATTTAGCTCTTACATCATTTCGCTGTGACTAAATCAAAGGGTTGAAAAACACACACAGAAATCAAGAATAAAATAAATAAACCAAATGCCTGCCATTGTTTGGCAATGTCACTAAATATTTTCTTCGAAATCCAACGGACAGGAACATAAATTAATTTAACAAATGAACAAACTGAATGAAGAGCGCTCAGCAATCCCAGGAATTTAACCTGGACACATAAATTTTCGTCGAGAAGTGTAACAAATGCTCATTAATATGCCAGACACATATTGCGGGTGGCACCAGATGGGCGTGGAGTGGGCAGCCTCCAGTGGAATGCGTTGGTATTACAAAAAATGGTGGAGGGGGAGGGCGGAGGGCCACAGTGCGACGCGTAGCTGAATATAAAATTTATTAATTGGCAGCTAAATAAGTCGCAAGAATTTACACGTTAATAATTTTATTAGCAAGCTGTTGCAAGTGGGCGCCCCATGAGGGCGTAGGGGCGTGGCTGTGACAGCTGCACGCAGACATTTTCAAATTCCACTTTGTCAAAAAAACAAAACAAAATGTGGAAATCATAAAAAATGTGAAATATGTTGCCAAAAAGCGAGCACCACAGCAGCTTTTGCTAATGCCCACAGTTTGTGGGCGTGGCATGCAAGAGAGGCCCTTGCTGTTTGAACTTGTGCGCGAAACAAACGAAAATTGTTATATAAAATGTATAAAATGTTCATAAAACATGCACAAACTATTTTTAAAACACTCGCCGGACAGATGTTGCCCGTTGGCCCTGGAATCAATAAATTATAATCACAGCAAGCAGGAGACAGCAGCAGTGCTGTGGCAGGAGGCGGAGGCAGAGGCGCTGCCCAAAAATTAAAGCAATGCGCGACTCCTACAGCTGCTGCCAATGCTGCTGCTGCTGCTGTTCATTTCCAGCTGTTGAACACAATTTAAGTTAAGTGTTTTACTTTTAAGGCGCCACGCCCCCCTCTGCCACAAGCTACCAACGAAACGCCCACACATTGGCAGGGCAGCAAAGTCAAATGCGAGCGAGATGGACAAAGAGAGCGGAAAAGAGTGTGAAAGAGAGAGAGAGCAAAATTCATTGCCTTTTAATTGCAGTTGGCAGTTGATGCGAACAATTCTCAACTGAATGTGTGTGTGCGTGTGTATGTGTATGTGTGTGAGGCGAATCCCGACTTTTCCCCATACATAAATTTCACTGTTAATTGAATGCAGGCACTTGAAAAATGGGCAGACTATTGGAGCTGACTGGGCCAATGGCAACCTGTTGAGTCCGCTGAGTGATTTATGGAACTTTTAGCCCCAAAAGAATCGACAATGAAAACTGTGGCACAGACATTTTTGGGGACACTTTGTGCAGTGTAAGATAAAACTATAGAAAAGAAAAGAAAATAGAACTGAAGTAATTGGAGATAGAAGAAATTGATATTGAATTGAATGTCAGCAAAAATAGACAGATTAAAGTTGATATGCCGTTTAAGAGTGTTAAGACTCACGCAGTTTTCAAAGGATATATTGGAAATGTAAGAAATATTCTTAGTGCTCAGTTTGTGCAAGCTTGGACTAGATGATGCTCAAGCCAAGTCGCAGTTATCAGTTTGACTTCCACTCAAGTTAATATATATATAAATAAAATATATTTATAGATAATTCATCGCAATTTCCTTAGCTTAGGTGTTATTTGAAAAACAACAAAGCTGCCGTTAGCAACGGCATTTTCCCGAGAAATGTCTGTCTAAATAACTAGGGACAAGCAAATCAATAAATTGCTTGCCCAACCGAGTGAAGCAGAGAGAATAAAAGCAAAAATAAGTAGAGAAAATACCTATATAAAAATACCTCACACAAAATCAATGAAAATCAATGAGGTGCCTATAAAGTGTCCTCAGCGTGGATAAAGCGCAATCGATTGCCGCATATTTTGGCAGTATTTTTTTTTTTATACCCTGAACCCATTGAAAATGGGAAATCAGGGTATAATGGTTTTGTTAAAATGTATGTAACAGGCAGAAGGAGGCGTGGCAGACCCCACAAAGTATATATATTCTTGATCAGGGCAACGAGCTGAGTCGATTTGGCCCTGTCCGTCTGTCTGTCCGTCCGTCCGTCCGTCCGTCCGTCCGTCCGTATGTATGAACGCGTCGATTTCAGAAGATATAAGAGCTAGAGACTTCAAATTTTTTTTAAAATGTCCNATTCACCATATGATTACGCTCTAAAAGTTTCATTAAGATCGTATGTCTACAAAAGAAATTATTTAACAAATAAATTCTCATAATATTGCCCACACTGCAGCGCAGCCCAAGCGCAGTCGCTGCTTACTGCGCAGTTAGCAGAGCGCAGGCTTATGCGTGCGTGTGGATGCATGTGTATGTATGTGTGCATAAAAGAAGTGCAGAATGATTAGAATATCAGCTTGGAGGGYTCAGGGTATMTYSTAGTCGAGCAGTCTCGACTGGAGCTTTCTTACTTGTTTGTATTTTTTTTTGTATTTTTAAAATGGCCAAAAGCGGCTGCTTGACAACGAGCCTGAAAAGGGAAGCATATATACACCCACACACTCGCACACACACATAGACATATGCAAGTATAGTCATGGGGTATTGCAGTACATGTATTTGCCTTTCTTTTTTTTTGGGTAATTGAATTATATTTACGCATAAAATTTATTTATTCACGATTTGCGGGCCATGTGAAGCCGCAGCACGTAAAAGTAATTGAAATTCATTTAGTCGCCCTGGCAACGGCTAGACAGCTGCAATAGCTCCTTTTTATTGCCCATGGGTATTGGAAGAACAGGGACTGGCAGAGAGCCATATGGACAGACGAGCCAAAGGTCAGAGCAGTAGCTGTAGCTGAACTAAAGCTGAGAATTAAACAGATCTCTGTCTATGAAATGTGAGGGTGTTTATAGCTGCAACAAACACTTGTTGCATTCCTCTGCCTGATAATGTCATATGGAGTCCCTTTTAAAACTCCACGGCTGAGCTCTCAGCTGTCAGGAAAAGTACAAATAGGTAAGCAACATCTACCGGTGTTTTCCGCTTTTCTAAAGTTCTGCTCTCATTTGGCATGCTCCTGCGGAAATGGCAAAAGAGCAGGTCTTTTTGTCGAATGGCTGACGCCCTGGTCTCTGCCTCGTTGAGCGAATTTCCGTCTTGCATTAAAATCGTATTACTTTATATATAGATATATGTATTTTTTTGCGGGCACAGGAAATTTGATGGCAATTGCTTTAAACTAGCCAAAGCGCTGCAAGAGCTCATCAAATTGCTCTTATCTGTGTGATTTCCGTAGTCTAATTACATTCCATGTGAGAGCTGTGGCTTGGCATCAAATGGAATGGAATGGTGTGGAGTGCAGTGGAATGGAATGGAAATGAAATCAACTCACCTTGTACTTGTGCATGTGTTTGTGCTGCTCTGGGAATAATGCTGCAAAGAGAAATAGAGTTGAGGAAAACTAGGTTAGCAGTGTTAATTGAATGTATGAAAAGAAAGAGATGGAGAGACAGAGAGAGACAGCAGAGTTTAAATGCTGTCCCAACTACGTTTAAAGACAAATTGCATATATGCAAACAGGATCTATATCTATTTAGGTCTCTGCACAGGACACAGCCATATCAAAAGGTTATCAGTTTTTTATGTTGTTGTTGGATTTGTTTTTCTGTGCTGATTGGCGCGTCACTTAGGCATGGCATAGTTGAACTAGCTAAACATATGTGGCTGCTTGTTGGCTGACTTACTTAGCAGCTACTTACGTTGCGAGCTGCTGCTGCCTGTCAGCAAAGTTTTCAGCGCTGTCAGCCAAGGCAACAACTCAACTGGCTGAGTTGCATGTGCAACGTGCAACGCGATGGCTGATAAGCGACACACGCACACATGAATGTCCATACAGGGCTGCAACAACAACTAGCGGACATGGATCAATGAGAGTTGCTCAAGTAGTTGGAGCAAAGGTCAGAGCTGAACYGAACTGAACTGAACTTTGTTAATAAATAAATGAATCAATAAGAGCTAGTGCAGTTGAACTAGTTCGTTAAGTGCAGCCCTCGCTGTGGCTTGCCATAAGCTCAATCTGCAGCCTTTTCCTCAACAGTTTTTCTTCCACCTGTCAAACTTTGCCATAAGAACTAAATTTGCAATTTCAACTCACGCACACTCACGCACTAATCGGCGAATCAAATGCCAAGTAGCTGTCGCTAGTTAGTTAGTTAGTTGGCCAAGCAGAACTCCACATCTTCAGTTCAGTTCTGGGCTTTGGTTTCCGTTTCAATTTTGTTTGCGTGTGTGTGTCTCGAGGTCGAGCTACGCAATATAAATTACTCATACGCCATGTCGTCGCCCCGATTCGCATCAGCCGCCTGCCATGTGTGAGCGACAGTGCAGCATTTAAGCCAACTGTATCAACGAGCTGGCCACAAAATCACAGCTGAGCTCGAGAGCGGCCAATGTGGCGTATACTTGATCTTGTTACACACAGATAAATGTCAATTTATTTGCCACACTCCAAAACACTAAGCCGATGGCGGCCTTCACCCAGCTAGCTGTGTGGGTGCGCGTCTCTCTCACTCACACTCTCTATATATCTCTCTCTCTCTGTCTATCTCTCGCTCTGTCTGTTTGTGTGGGCGAGATGTAATCGATAAGCAGCGAGGCTTGACGCAGCTTGACTTGACKGAGGGACTTGCTGCCTCTTGGCAATTCCATTTAAATACATTGCTCGCCCTTCGCCCTCTCGCTCTCCCTCTCTCTGTCTATATCGGCTATCAAATTATGTTGAAATTTATGCGCCACAGCAATTTTTTTAATGAGCATTCCACTAATTAATAATTGCCGCTTATTACAGTTGCGCTGCTCAAATGGAAGCTGATTCTACTTAAATGTTGTTTATTAAAGACTAAGCTTAGCAATTTCTAATGCTTAAAGGTATTTTATTTTTTATTTATTAT